GCCTGTAGCGACCAGATAGTTTAGTTCGGCCTAGAAGCATGCTTTAAAATATCTAAGCTCGGCTTGGTGTCTTGGCTAATTACACATATGTTTGATAAATCAGCTGTAACAGAGATGCAGTGGGAAGCTCGTTTTAGACATCTGGAGTATTGGCAATGTCTGTGGCGAACTTCAAACCGCACCCTAACCCTAACACTACCTATATTTGGTAAGGTTCTTTTCTGATTGACATCCGATATGAGCAGACGTGCCAATTTTCTCAACGTCAACAAAGTTTTGTTTAAATACTATATATTGAAATCGTGGAAAATAATAAGAGGAATAAGAGTGCAGCGAGCCTAGCTGAGTAATATTTTGTGATTAATTTTGGAAAACTATTGAGATGTAAGTGGTGGAAGTAGATTTTTATCCAATTCTAACCCCAGATTTTCTTTAGATATATATGATATATATATTTCTCACGTGGCCATCAATACTGGCATCGGTAGGAGCTCCCCTTCCAAGACAGTGGGGGGCATGATTTAATATCGTGCCCCAAATTAAATCGGACAAGAAAAATGAGGAGTTTCAACTGGAATTAAGAATTCAAGAATGCGGCATTAAGAAAGTGATTTGGAGAGATGTTTAACCCTCTCTACCCACGGCAGCAGCAGCAGCAGATTTAGTCTACCCAAATATGGACAAAAGGGACTACAACACCTGAATTGCTTTTCAAGCTGCTACCGCGATTTTTTTTGAAGTGAAATATTATAATGAAAAATTTGGAAGTTTTGAAATTTGCCAATGTGAAGAAAACCTAATGAATCAAAGAAAGCAACATGCCGTAAAAATCAGTTTCAGTGATATTTTTTAAAGTCTGAATGATTCAGTCTAAAACGTCTAAAACGTATTTCAATTAAATTTAAACTTATTTTTTCACGAGTGGAGTTATTTACGCATCGATTTTGTTTTGGAAAATTCGCTCAACTATGACTTAAAAGCGATAAATTAAATATTTATTTTTTGTAAATTTAAATATAATTTGAAAATAGCAACTTCAGTAAAACAATAATTGAATAAATTTAAAAATGTGGTTAAGTGAAGATATCACAGTCGCTTCTCAGTAAAATATGTAGGCCTAAGGGTTCCAAGTTAAAAGATTTTTATAGAATAGTTTTGTGTTTTCGAGCCCCAATTTCACCCTTTACAGCCACCTGCCCAGGAGATCGATCTTTCGCCGCTGGAACAACGTATAAGCTGTGAGTTTATTATTCTCATTATTGCATTTATATCTATTCTATTTATATCTTATTGCGAAATACTCTATGAAATAATTTTTAACAATCTACTTGAATGAAACTGTGAATTTAAAGAACCCTGAACCGATAGCATCACTAAACTAAATTAAATTAAACAAAAGATATCAAACAGAATGAAGATGATTTAGTGAAATAAAAAAATAAATTAAAGCAATGAAATTTAAATATCTATTGTTATACCAGAGTAATATTTTTTATTGGTGAAGTACGATATCTGAATACCCTATATTTTTCTTATTTCTTATCTTTTTAAATATATACGAACATTATAACTACTTTAATTTATGAGGATAACATCATTTAAATATTTAAGTATCTAAATAGTATTTTTATCGCCTGTATATCATTTATTATATTTATATAAAATTTGTAGTATCTACCTGTTAGCAAATAACAATAATGAATTCTTGTATAACTATTAATTAAATTGTATTTGAAATGAATTTCGAGTAGTTCACGTTTTTTTTAACTCGGCTGATGCTTCCACAATCGTAGGGTATTAGGGGTCACCGGAGTTTAGCTCTGAAGGATGGTGATCATAGGTAGGGTGGGCATTTCGCGACCACGACAACATCTGTGGCATCGCTGATTCTAACTTTTCTCGATCTTTTCTATCTCTTGTTTTTTGAATTTTATCTATTTCTCTTCTGATTTTGATATCTCGCATTTATTTTCGTCAGCACACTCAATTCTGGTCTTAAAAATAATAATATGTAGCTAGTGTGCGGATTTGTCTAAGCAAGACCTCCACCCCCAAAGCAGACGAGCGAGAGCCGGACCCTATAGTGTGCACCCGCAAGGACAGATCCTAGAACTCACCACAGAATACCTTCGTTACACGCTACAGTTATAATATCATTATTATTATTATTATTATTATTAAGAAAGGTGGCGCCCAACGTGTGGGGCCTTAGTGAGTACAGTATTACCTCATTAAGACTCACCGATAGATAAATTCAATCTCTTTTCTTTCTTTCATTTATTTCAACTTTAACTTCTGATCAAAATCTCTTATGTTGATTTTTATTTATTATGGATAACAGAGCAAGTGAACATTAGTTTCCGTCTGGCCTTAATTAAAAGTCCGTGTAAGAATTTTCCTTCCTTTTGTATGTGATGATAAGGAAAACTTAGTCTGAGGAAAATACAGAAGTATCAAATTGCGATTGATCTTCTGGCCCTTGCTGGTTTACCAAATCACTACAATATTCACACTTACTTAAATAAATGCTTTCTTCAAGCTTAGGCGTTTCGGAAAATAGAGGCATTGTTTTACTGAAGTGCCCTATCCACGGTTGACTTTTAGAAAGAATTATTTATAATTTTTCTTAGAGGAATTAGACTTATGTGAGTTGAGACTGGAACATAAGAATTTTTTTTTAAGAATAACTTATCCGTTTCATATTTATTAAAGCCTAATTACTTCCCTTATTGAATTTTCTTGTAGTAAGAAAGGCAAGAAATTCACTTCATCTGTATTCTTTTCTTCTTTCCTGAGAAATGTTAGTAGTAAATAAAATTTTTATCCTACGAGTTGTGGACATCAAGCTAGAGTTAAAGCTTTATCTTTATTATTATAACCACAGTTTATATCGTGAGAGTTACTTTTTGATTGTTGTTGAAATCATTTGATATTAATGATACAACATTTTTTTTTTATCTTTTTATTTCTTTTTGAGCTGTTGTTGAAATCATTTTGGTATTAATGATACAACATTTTGGTTTTAAATTATTTTGGTTTTGAGCTGTTGTTTAAATCGTTTGGAAATTAAGGATACAACATTTTGTTTTTTTTGCTTTTGTTATATTTTTATAAATTTTCAAATGGGATTAGACCGTTCTCCGGGAAAAGCATCGCAAGGAGGTGCAAAGCCAGTCTGTCCGTTATGTAAAGCAGATATTAAGGCAGCAACCGATTTATTTGAAACTGTATGCCATCACGAATTTCACAAGAAATGTATTGAGGCACATTTGAAGAAAAGTGAAAGCTGTCCAGTATGCAGAATTTCTTGCAGGCCAGTAGCCGAGAGTAAAGGTTTACAAACGCGATCCCAATCTAAAAGTCGTGGCACAGAAAGTATTGATGATAGAAATATATCTGAAAACGTCCCTGGTACGTCAGGAGGCGCTCATAGTAGTAGCAGTAGGGATGTAGATCCAGCTAATGTTGCTAATGCAATGACGTTACTCTCAATGGAGCGAAGACTGCTCACAGTGTTGTCCAGAGAAAATGACTGAGTTAATACAAACTTCAGTGAGTGACAGTATTCAGAGATTAATCTCCCCTCCATCTAGCTCCAATGCGAATGACAGAGATAGGTCAGCTACTCCCACCACCCTTAGACCGACCAATTTCTGGCAATGAACATATCCAAAACACAAATTTTGTCGCGCCTAACTTAGGTTCTCCAAGTTCTCATAGAAGTATCCCTTCTGATCTCTTAAATAGACCCGACAAGGTCGTGCATATCCTGAATGGATGGAAGATAAAATATTCCGGATCAGGTGTATCGATAGACAATTTTATTTACAGAGTCGAAGCGCTGACGCATCAGACACTTGAAGGCAACTTCTCAGTGCTTTGCAGAAATGCTAGCGTCTTATTCGAGGGCAAAGCCAACGAATTTTATTGGCGTTACCATAAATCGGTAACCGAAGTACGTTGGGATAGATTATGTTCTGCCTTGCGATTGCAATTTCGTCAAAAAAGGGACGATATTGATGTAGAAGAGTTAATCAGAAACAGAAAACAAAAGCCCAATGAATCTTTTGATAGTTTTTACGATAGTGTAAACGTATTAGTCGATCAGTTAGAAGTACCATGGTCGCCGAGAAAACTTGTCCGAATTCTCAAAAACAATTTGAGACCCGAAATACGCCATGAATTGTTGAATGTTGACATTTCTTCAGTATCTGAGTTGAGAGAAACTTGTCGTCGACGCGAAGCTTTTTCTAGACGATGTCAAACGCTCTCACGGATACAGTAAAAACACACCGTTTAGACGAGAAGTCTCAGAGCTTATTCAAGAGCCAGATTCTCAGAATGGGTCCGAATCCGAAAGTGAATTAGAGGTGGACGCATTTTCCTTGGTATGCTGGAATTGCCGCAAAGAAGGGCACAGATACCAAGATTGCTTATCAGAGAAGCGCGTATTTTGTTACGGTTGCGGAACCGCTAACACCTATAAGCCAAACTGCGTTAAGTGCTCCAAAAAACTTAAAGCCCGGCAGTTCGAAGTCGCAGTTCAAACCGAAGACTTTGAATGCCTCTCGTCACCAATCAACTATGACCGATCAGATGTGAATGCACCATTAGTCGCATCACCAACTTCCCCGGACGTATCAAAAAGCAATGTCGGCTCTCTACTGCATTGTAAACTTAAAAAGTTACCTCAGATTTTAACTCCTACTGTGTTTTCTGAACATCTCTTAGAAATCCGTAAGTCTCGCAGCGCCGAAAGAATTAAAAGGTTTTGGCAGAATGTTAAAAGCTGTAGGCTCGGGTTGAAATATATTTGTTCTCTCCCTACGGGATCAAGAGATCCACGACCATTTCTGCCGATTCGCTTATTAGACCGTACTGTTTTTGGTTTGCTGGACTCAGGGGCCTCAATAAGTTGTATTGGAGGAGATCTAGCTAAAGAAGTTATGGCGAATGATACCGAATACAAGCCATTAAACATTAAAGCCAAAACAGCAGATGGACGACCTCAGAAAGTAGTAGGAAGAATGGAAATTGACGTAGAATATGGAGACAAGAGAAAACCTTTAAATATTTACCTAGTACCGTCTTTGAAACATGATCTTTATTTAGGTATAGATTTTTGGAGACTATATGATCTTCTCCCCAAAAACCTTAATATATCAGAGTTAGAAACTACTATCGAAGCTAGCAGCAAGGTCGAAGTTGATCAACACGACTTGTCTGCTGAGGAAAAAGCAAAGCTTGGCAATGTCATCAATTGTTTCCCGTCATTCACGCAGGAAGGACTTGGAAAAACGAATTTAATAACTCATGCAATAGATGTGGGTGGAGCGAAGCCGATTAAACAGCGCCATTTTCCAGTGTCGCCAGCTGTTGAGAAGAGTATGTACGCCGAAATTGACAGGATGTTGCAAATGGGCGTAATTGAAGAATCGGAAAGCGCTTGGTCTTCCCCTATAGTGATGGTTACCAAACCTG